GCCCCAAGCCCTCCCCCCCCCTCCCCCACCCGCCGAGGGACCCAGGCGTCCTGGGGGGGAGGCCCCTCCCTTTGCCACCCGACGCCCAAATCATCATAAAGGCCTAATAATCCTCCCCCCACACCCATATATTTAGAGGCCTGGGGGGGGCAAAGGGTCCCACGGGTTTCCCCCTCCCTCCCCTCACGCACCAAGCCAAGATGGAGGCCGGAGAGAAAAGGAGCCGCCGCCGCCTCTCGCACGACGAAAAGGAAGGGGAAACGGAAGCCGGAAACGGGAAGAGGCGGGGCTTCACGGGCCGCGCAGGCGCACTAACGGTGGGGAAGAGAGGCGGGGGAGTCATAGGCGCTCCCAGTGGAAACCTCTATGGCGCTTTCAGCGTGACGTCACATCCCCCAGCGCCTCGGCGCTGTTTCTTCGGCCGAGGGAGTGCGTCATCAGCGTGCGCCGCCTCCTCCGCCGCTTTCTAAGATGGCGGCCTTAGCCCGGGTCGGGGCGAGGAGGGCGGCGGTGCTGCTGCTGCTACAGCGGGAAGGAGGACGGCGGCCTCCTCCAGGCCTCCAGCCCCGGACGCTGCTCCGGTGGGGGGCGGCCCACATGGTATTGTCGGTTGCCTTCCCCCCCCCACACACACCCCAGGGAGAAGACGGAGCTTGGGAGCGCGGGAATAGGTCCTAATAGGACGGGACCCCGTATCCGCGGGATCGGTATCTGCGGATTCACTTATCCGCTGCCCGAAAGTACTTTTTAAAAAAATCCCAAAGATATATTTCTAAGGATGAAGATACCAGAACTACTGCTTCTCCGCCCCCCCCAGAAGTTGCTGGCATGGAAAATGAGGGGAAAACGTTTAGAAATAAAATCCAAGCTAACTCAGAATCCGAGCCCAGTGTTGGGCCTTTCTCCTGCGGTCTCCCTGATCCTTATTATCCCGCTCTTGGTCCACCTTGGGGAGAAAGGGGGGCTCGTCTCGGCCTTGGGAGGTGTTTTGCAGAGAGCCAGGAGGGTCTGGTGGTTAAGAGTCCCAATAAGGGTCTGTTGGGAATAATGGGAGGCGTGCAGGTCATGAAATGTTTCAGCCCTGCTTGCTCTCCCTGGCTTCGTGGCCGAAGTACAAACGGGGGGGGGGGCTCTTGGGGACATGGCCCGGTGGGAGAGAAATAAAGCGAGGAGCGTTTTGTCTGGAGGAAACAACAGCTCACAGCTATCGTTTCTTTGTGTTTTCAGACCCAGGCCTCCACGGAACAAGTCTCTGAAGATCAAAACTACCCCGGGGTGGTTGAATCGACCGAGGAATACAAATTCGTGGAGAGACTCATACCTCCCACGCAAGTCCCGCTGCCTCCCGAGCACGACCACTATCCTACGCCGTCAGGGTGGAAACCGCCACAAGGTGAAATGGACAGAGCAATAACGTAAACTTCTGTAGGACCTTGGCTTCCCCTGTCGCTCCCGTTGTTCCTGCCTCCTGGATGTCCTGCCTAGACTCGATGGGAGATGTAGTCCATCCATACCTGGAGGCACGCATTCCCTGTATCTGTTTGTAAAATTCTTATGTTTTATCGTATACACCTTATTGGAAGCCGCCCAGAGTGGTCAACCAGACCAGATGGGCGGGATATAAATCAAATAAATAAATAAATATCTGGTTTAAAAGATAAAAACCATAGGAAGGAATCATAAGATTAGAAAGAAACTGAAGAATGCTTTAGGTGGGTCAGTTTGAACCTGGCCAGTTCATGGAAGGGGTATGAGAGAGATACTAAAGCTAAGCACGCCTGGACCTGTAAGCTACTTGTATGGAAACTGCATATGTTTTATATATATAAAAGCTTTAGCTTTATGTGAAGTGTGCTGCTTCTACACTGCCCCATAGCGCTTGAAGCACCCTGTGGGCAGTTTACAATTTAATCATGCAGGTTACACATTACATATTCCCCCAGCAAGCTGGGTACTCTATTTACCGACCTGGGAATTAACCACTGTGTCACAGGGCTCCTTACGGACCCCTCTTGCTCATCCCTTCCTTGCTAAAACCTTAAGATGTTAGGGTTTAATGAATACTGTTTGTGGAGGGGCGTGGGGTGGCCAGGCATATCCACATCTTTGTTACCCAGATTTTCATTATTTTCATTATAGTCCGCAAAAAATTTAATATTGGATTTATTATTTCAAATTAATTTTTTTTTAAAAACCGTCTTTTCTGTACTGTGGTTGACATGTCTCGTGTTCATTCTCGTGCCAGATCCACCTCCAGACCTTCCATACTTCGTACGGCGGTCACGCATGTACAACATCCCTGTCTACACAGATCTCACCCACGCGTGCAGGAAGATGACCGTTATTAGAAAGATTGAAGGAGACATTTGGGTGAGTCTCCCCATTTCTGGCAGCCTTCTTGTGCAGGGGTTTGTGATCCCACAGGAGGGAAGGCACATGGCCAACATACCTAAGAAGTCGCTTTGCTAGCAAGAGAGGCAATACGCATCCAAGAAAACCACAGCCTTGGTGCCACTGTTTGAGATAAATCTGGTCACTTGGCCTTCCCCTGGCTGTGGTCTCCCTCTCTGTCTTGGCAGAATTTGAACGCAGACCTCCATATCTGCCCCATCCCCTTATGCTTTGGCATGACGGAAACCGCTCCACTTCCTGGGAAGGGAATGTCTCCTGATCACCACCCACCCCAAAGTGTTGAAAAAAAGTGTAAACACAAGGAGAGGAAAGCAAAGGAAATACAAAGCCTACATCAATATTTGGCTCTGTGTGGTTTGTGGTCAGGGATCTTGGAGTGCTGATGGGAGTGAAAGCTAGACAGTTAAAAAAGCTGGCAGGACAAAAATGGATTTGTTTGAGAACTCTGTGGGTACCTTAGACTGCCAGAAAGACAAACAAGTACGTGGTGGTTGTAGGTTTTTTTTGGGGGGGGGGCTGTTTAGCTGCATTTTGGAGGTTTTTCTTCCTAACATTGCACCAGTCTCTGGTGGTGGTTGTAGGGTTTTTTGGGGGGCTGTTTGGCTGCATTTTGGAGGTTTTTCTTCCTAACGTTGCACCAGTCTCTGTGGCCGGCCTCTTTGGAGGACAAGAGTCAGAACTCTATGTGTTCTGGTTAGACAGAATTCTGACTCCTGTCCTCTGAAGAGGCTGGCCACAGAGACTGGCGCAACGTTAGGGAGAAAAACCTCCAGAACGCAGCCAAACAGCCCAAAAACCCTACAACCCCCATCGGATCCCGGCTGTGAAAGCCTTAGAAAAAACAAACAAGTAGGTCGTAGAGCAAATTCCAGCCTGAACTAGATCTCAAGGCAAAAATGATGAAACTGAGGCTATCGTGCTTTGGGGACCTCGTGAGAAGGCAGGGTTTTCTGGAGAAGACAGTAATGTTGAGAAAGGTGGAAGGCAGCAGGAGAAGAGGAAGACCCCAATGTGAGATGGACGGATAGCCTGAAGGAAGCCACAGGCTTGAGTCTGTAAGAACCGAGTAGGACAGTGGAGGGACAGGGCATGTTAGAGATTGCTCATCCAGAGGGCGTAAATTGAGGGCGGCTTAATGACACTCAATGACTTTTCCACAATCTGCGACTATTAACTTCCTTTCCTTTACCCCCCCCAGGCGCTCGAGAAGGACGTGAAGGAGTTCATCACACCCTTGCTAGGAAAGGCCCCGGCCACCCAGGTTAACGAAGTCACCAACAGCATTCGTATCAAAGGTTATTTTGATCAGGAGTTAAAGCAGTGGCTGATGGACAAAGGGTTCTGAATAAAGTCCAGCAACCGTCGGGAAGATGTCTCTCTTTTAAACAACCCTCTACCCTCCGGGGAAGTAATTGCGAGGACAGGTTGCCCAGGAACAGTCAGGGGGGCGAAGCAGGATCAGACTCCTGGCAGGTCTAGAATTTTGTTCTTACTTACACAGGTGTCTGAGATAGCTTTTCCTTTTAACTCTTGTCAGTCTGATAGAACTTTGGAAAGAACAAGGAAAAGCCTGTGGGGTCCCCATGATCACACAGATGTAAGAGTTGGCAATGGCTTCTGTTGGATCATTTTAAAAAAATTGCAGACTTTCGTGGAGAAAATCCCTCTTTTTTCAGTCTCAGCCCAAGGTTCCTTCAGTTGCTCACCAGGGAAAAGCACGAGTTTTGCCTTTAATTTGACACAAATTGGCTATGCCTACCTGGTAAATAAACCAAATTACGATCCTTCACTCGTGCTGGGGGCTCTTCTGTCTTCGTTTTGGTTTTTCCTCCCTCACTCCCACTTCCAAATAGAAACTTTCATTTCGTTTGGGAGCAACCACAAGAGTAACTTGGGGAAACCTTTGGGTCCCGAGAGAGTGAGAAAACATTTCAAATTTTACTGCAAGCAAGCTTAAGACCGCAACGTTAAGAGGACTGATGTCGACCTTTACAGACGTGTACCATCCATTTTTGGAGTCTTGCCTAGTTTTTTTTTCCCAGTGTCAACGAAGGGATTGTGTAAAGCCTGAAGGGGAATTTTCTCCACGAAAGCTTGCAAATGATTTGATTTTCTTGGGAAAAAAAGGTATCCACCATTCTTACATTTAGACTTCAGAACTCCTTCAAATACCTCCCACAGAGGGGTGCACATGGCTTTTAGAATTTCTTTCAGCAGAAAAATCCTCTTTTCTGAAACGCAAGCTTTCTCCCTAAATAAACCACCGTCCTTAAAAAGTCTGCTAATGGCAGACTTTTGATGATTAAAATTTTTATCCACCTTTGTGGCCTTGGCTTAAGAGTATTCTGACTTGAACCGGTATCCTCTCCACAATTGGTCTAAACCCAAAAGGGGGCGAGTGTCAGAAGCCATTGTAATGAATTCCTGTTTATTTACATTTGCAACACATGAAATGTACAGAGGAGGAAAAGTTAAAAAAAACAAACAAACGAGGCGCCATTGCCGAGAAATTGATTTCGCTGAATTTCATCCTGGGAGTCCGGAAGGCGCCACGGTCATTCACTCCTCATTGGGATTTTGGAAGAAGTGTGGGCGAGCCCCCTCAAGTTCTACACAGAATCTGTGATTTCGAATCTTCCATGCCTGATCCGCAGGCAGTAACGAATTTCAAAGTCTGGGGAAAATCACCAAAAAAAATCCTAGCTGGCAATGATGGGGCACTTCAGAGGGCCAGAGTGGAAGCGTGGGGGGGACAAGTTAAGCTGCCCCTCTAGAAGGATGCAACGGGGGGCGCAGCGAGACTGTTTTGCTTGTATGGATTCGAGTTGCCGCTCAGTTCCAGAGAGGCGGCGGGCCAATCCCTCTCGGCAGCTTTCAGGTTTGCTGGTAATACTGGTTATAGTTCCATGTGTTCTGATAGCCGTAGTTACTGTAGTTCTGCAAAAAGACAGAAGCAGTGAAAAAGCCTCTTTGAAAGAAGAAATCAACTCTGCTAGATTTCAGCTATAACTCTCAACAGCTGGATGGCTCAGTGATTTATGTCTCTGGCTGTGGCGCCAGAGGTTGGGAGTTTGAATTCCCCCCCCCCTTGCTGACGAGGGCTGGACTCCCATCATCCACAGGGTCTTTCCAGCTCTGCAGTTCTAAAATTACTATTATATCATTCTTTCCTCGTGGGTATTCTATCTAGACTGATGGGAGTCGTAGGCACCCCCCAACGAGAAGTACGTCTTCCCGTTGCAAATATTACCCTGTAGCTTCTTCCCTCAACTCTCTTTGACCGTTTCACTATTAACTTCTTGGCAAAAACAAGAGGAGTCTTGTGGCATCTTAAGGACTAACAGAATGATTTGGAAGAAGCTCTCGTGGACGGAACCCTACTGAGCATAAAAGCACCAACTTCAGTGAAATGCAAGCACATCTTAAGAGTCTGAAAAACCCACAACAACCATAACATCTTAATTTAGCCCACTTCAAAGTCAAGATGGTTCAAATCAACTAAGGATGGACAGCTTTAGTTTTTAAAGTAAAATGGGAACATTTGCAACTCCTCCAGGCGAGGTCTGACCAGAGCAGAGGCGGGTGGCCCTTGGACTTCTGTCGATGCAGCCTGAAATGACCATTGCTTTCGTGCTGCTCCTTTGGACAGCTAACCAGCCCCGTTTTTACTGATCCAGGCTCCTTTAAGAGCTGAATCCGGGGGATGGGGGGGGTGGCTGCCAGCCAACTCACCTGATACCACGTGTTGTAGTTATAAGCCCCGCTTCCGCTGTTGGTGACGTCTGTCGCCATCAAGGGCGTGATGCCTGCGGTGGCGACGGCCACGTTGCCCCCTCCGGCCGCTGCGTCGTCCAGCCGCAACCTTTTGTCGTCGGCCTCCTCGGCGCTGCTTGAAGGGTTCGAAAGAGTGCCGTCAGCCAGTGTTGGCCGGAGGATCGTGCCCTTGTTTGCCGCTCTACCCGTGAGGGTTCCCTTCGAGTAGGGATCCCTAGGAGCAGCCCAAGCCTATAAACTAGGCTGCCCAATTTAAGTCACTACAGACTCACAGGCTAAAAACCGCCTGTTTTAATTCAGACCACTAGAGCACAAGCTTAGAACACGGAACTCATTGCCACCTGATGGTAGTGAGGACTTTCAGAGACGGTTGGGTCAGTTCATGGAGACAAGGGCCGCCTTTCAAGGGGCTCTTATTTTGGAGGCCTACTTATCGGGGTAAGGTTCATTGACCTCTCAGTTTCTGTCTGGATGTTTTGAGCTTTCCTGGGTATTCAGGGGGAGGGTCAACACAGGAGCAAGAGCAGGCCAAACATACATGATCTCCATCATCCTCCACGAGGTAGGTCACCCTCATCCACCTGATCTATGACACCCAGCCGAGAAGGCAGTTGGCCAGCCGGCTTAATGTCTCCGCAGCTCATCCCTCCTTAACTCCCAGAAAGATGTACAGTGGTGCCCCGCATAGCGACGTTAATTCATTCCGGATTAATCGTTGCTATCCGGAAACATCGCAATGCGGGTGGGAAAACCCCATAGAAACGCATTAAACTTAGTTTAATGCGTTCCTATGGGGCAAAAACTCACCATTATGCGAAGATCCTCCATAGCTCCGCCATTTTCGTGCCCTCGGTAAGCGAGGAAATTGCGCAAAAATGGTTGCGGCGGCAATTTTGGGCACCCGGTGGCCATTTTGGAACCGCCGATCAGCTGTTTTAGAAACATCGCAATGCGAAGATCGGTAAGCGAAACGCAATGCGATGTTTTGCCCATTAAAACAGCACAATGCGATCGCATTAGCGATCTCAAAACATAGATCGCTATGCAGATTCGTCGTTAAACAGTACGCTCGTTATGTGAGGCACCACTGTATCTAAGGGTCTTCCTGGTTTACAACTTAATTGTGCAGGTGACACACAGCATTTCCCCCCTTCCAGGAACCGGGTACTCACTGTCACACCCTCAGATGGCTGAGTCAACCCTGAGCTGGCTACCTGAGCCTAGGGGGAGCCTTTGACTAGTACTGCAGGTTTAACCACGACACTATGTGATGATTAGAAATACTAACCAAACAGGGGCTTGTGGGGTATGCGTTAAATCTTAAAGAGCCTGAACGCAGCCAGAGTATCTCACCCATTTTCCAAGAGCCTCTTCCGAAGCATCTGCTGGTTCAGGAGTTTCTGGTGCTCGTCGTACGACGTCAATAAGCTGGGAATGCAAAAAGGGAAAAAGAAAGCCGGCGTCACAACCGAAGAGGCCCTGGCCAAACCCAAAGCAGGAAAGGAAGAAAAAGAAAACCCGACCCAGCGCCACTTTAAAGCCTGAGCAATTTTACGGGAGTCCTTTTCCCCCCAGTCACCTGTTTATGCTTGACCCGAAGTCCTCCAGGAACTCCACCCGGCGCTGGGAGAAAATGATCTTGGTCTCCAGGGGCAGGCCGCTGGTCAAGGCTCTGTCGAAGCTACTCATGGTGTTGCCTTCGTTCTGGCGGACGTCGGCACTGAACTCCATCTCCAGAAGGTTGGCGTACAGCTTGGCGTTGTCCTGCGTTCAAGGAGGAGATGCTCAGAGAAGCCACGGCGCTTATCGCAGCGAAGGAACGGCAAGACCCTCTCCCCGCGTCCAACCCGGCACAGCGAAACCGCCCCACGTTTAAAAAAGAAACTTGGGCAAGAAAGAAAACGCCCAGCAATAAGATTAAGTGACCCGGGAGAGAAACCAGGAGAGAATTTTCCTGCTGGGTTCTATTTATTTTTCCCCCCTTCCAGGAATAAGGGGAACAAACGCTCGCAACTGGCCTTAGCAACAGCCAAGTGACCCATCCTTCCTTCTCTGTGCTCATCCCTTTGATGGAGTCTTGTGTCGCCCAGGAAAAAGAAAGAGGGAGACCTCGGGAAGGAGGTAATAACTAGAGATTAATATCCAGAATGTCTGTGTGTGCCTCTCTCTCTCCTCCAACTGACAGCTAAGACTTTGGGCCCTGGACAGTCAGCAAAAGCTGCTGATGCCACGTGCCACCTAGGCCGACCCTACGAACAAGCGCTCTTCCACAAGATCCAACAGCAGGAAGGTTGCCTCTACAGAGGGGCCCGGCCCATCCAGGGGCCCGGCTCCTGCAGGGAGACCAACCCTCCCTTTCCTGCTCCTGGGTGCAAGCTGAGGAAAAGTGACCCCACCTAAATAGCTGGCTGCTACCTGTACACTGTAAATCAATGAAACCTTTTTATTCTTTCTCTTACTACCGTCTCAAGAGTGAGACTGAAAGTGCCAGTGAATGACAAAGAAAGGGATGGACTAAATTGGGGGAATTTGAAGCTATTCTGCTGGAGGAATCCCAACCCTGCCACAGCGCAACTAGAAGAATTTAACCAGAAATTCAACACAGCAAAAATACAGAAGTCACATGGAAAGAGTCTAGGAAATACACACACACCCCAACCACAGGAAAGACACACAAGCAACGCCCATTTTTCTGTTCTTTTTTACCGGGTCTTTCTCCAACGCATCCAAGAGGATCTTCCGGGCTTTGGCGAGATTCTTCTGCGCCTTCAGGACCAGCCGGGCCAGTTTGACGGAATAGAAGGACGAGACGGGCATGCCTTCGTTCTCCCGGATGGCTTCCATCAGCAGGGTCTCGGCCATCTCCGTGTTCCCCAGGCGGCGCTCCAGGCTGACGCGCCGCAAGCGCACCATGGCCAGGCCGGGCACGCACTCGTCAAAAGAGCGGAGGATGCGCCGGGCTTCCTCCACCTCACCTGCGGGCACCAGCAGAGGGAGGGAGAGCATCAGTCAGCGGCAAAGCCACCAGCAGCTTCCTAGCCTTTAAGCTCACCTTTAAACATGCATTTCACAGCAGAAAGTCTTGGCGATTTTTAAACAGAAACAAGGAAAAAGTCATCTAAAAACGGAAGGATATTCTGCTATAAAGCGGACGGTGGTGGCCCCCAGGACTTTGGAATTCTCTCCCATCAGAGGTGCGACTGGTCACCTCCTTCCTGGGTTTCAGATTACAACTTTGAAAGACCAGGCTGTTTTCTTAAGCCTTGCCCTGGATTGAGACTAATTTTGGATTTGACTAGTTCTACTTTGAACTTCTGTATCTCTCTCTCTCTCTGCTGGCCACCTCTTATTACTACCTTTTGTGACTTTTATTCTCCTTCAATGCTATGACACCTTTAGGTATCACGCTTATCATGAAGCCCTTTCTGAATTTTTATCGCCACTTTTACTGTTATTATCTCACTTTGACCTTGTCAAAGTACTGCCCAGAGCGGCGACTCTGTTACTATATGGGTGGGATAAAAATATGAACAAACAAGCAAACCACGAAATGAAAGTGGCTGAAAACACAATAAACGATCGTAAGGAACCATTATCGCTATTCAAATAACCACCGATTTACAGTATTTGAAAACAACTTAAAGAACATAATTAAAAAAGTACAAACTGCAACCTTCAGTCCCTTATAGAAGCAAAGAATTAGACGTTAGCTGCTTTTCATAAAATTACAGAATGATGGAGTTGGAAGGGTCCTAGAAGGCCATCTAGTCTGACCCCCTGCTCAAGGCAGGAATCCAAACCGAAGCAGATCTGACAGAGGGTGGTTCAATTTTCTCTTAAAGGCCTCCAGTGTTGGAGCGCTCCCCACCTGCTAAAGGTCATGGGTTCTGCTGTCGTACTGCTCTAAAAGTTAGGAAGTTTTTCCCGATATTCAACCAAAATCTGGATTCCTGCCGCTTGAGCCCACTGCTATATAGAATGGTTCTGTGAAGTCCGAAGCCCTGCGGACTTCTACAAGAAACTTTAGGGCAGCTGAACAGAAGATCTGGGCTGGAGATGGAGTATGCCATGCCCTAGTCCAGGAAACACATACACACAGAGAGAAAAAAAAATTGGTTCTCACCATGCTTCTCTTCAAACGCTGCCCACATTGCCGCTTGAGCCCACTGCTATATAGAACGGTTCTGTGAAGTCCGAAGCCCTGCGGACTTCTACAAGAAACTTTAGGGCAGCTGAACAGAAGATCTGGGCTGGAGATGGAGTATGCCATGCCCTAGTCCAGGAAACACATACACACAGAGAGAAAAAAAAATTGGTTCTCACCATGCTTCTCTTCAAACGCTGCCCACAGGAGATGGATGTTGGGTTTCCGAGGGAGGTGGTAACAGCAAGCTCGCTGGAAGACGCTCCTGGCCCCAGCTATACTGTGGCTCTCGAGGTACCTTATGTACTAAAAGCAGAGAAAGGAAAGCCAGTGGAGAAATGAGAAAAAACTTGGATTCTAAAAGGATAGTTCAGGGGGTTTAAGTCTCTGGCTGTGGAGCCAGCGGTTGGGGGAGTTCGATTCCCCCGCTGTGACTCCCACAGGAGCTGGATCTGATGATCCATAAGGTCCCTTCCAGCTCTTCAGTTCTGAGATGGTATTATTACAGCATGAATGGGGTCTGACAGCTGAACACCAAGGTCTTCTGAAGGCTCATGGACTGAGCCCTCCTTGTTAGCAGGGGGGAGGGGAATAACAATCACATATTCCGGAAATCTGGACCACAACTCCCAGAAGTCTTCGCCGCTAGGCTACGCTGGGTGGGCTTTCTGGGAGTTGCAGTCCAAGAACATCTGGGGACCCACGGGTTTAAATCAACAACATGACAGATACAGCTTTAGTTTTGAAACCCAGCAGGGAAATCAACAACATGATACAGCTTTAGTTTTGAAACCCAGCAGGGAAACCTCCTCCAAGGTGCACGCTCAAGAAGGGAAGAAAGGCATTTTAAAAAAACAAATGTTTAATCTAGTCAATGGGCGAGGTACTTCTAGGAATGGATAAAAAGGGAAGGGCTTTCTTGTACGTCCAGCAGCTGACTGGATAGCTCAGTGGTTTAGATCTCCGGATGGGGAGCGAGAGGTTGGGAGTTCGATTCCCACGCGGTTGCCTCCTGGGTAAGAAAAGCCAGCCTGGGTGGCCTTGGGCAAGCTGCTCAGTCGTCCCAGGGCAACCCTGGAAGAAGGGGAAACCATGTCTGGGTAAACTTAGAAAATCCTGAGAAAAGTCTCTATGAGTCAGAACTGAGTTGACGGAATATCAAGGGATCTGGATTATAAACTGGGGAAGGGGGTCACACACCTTGATCCAGAACTCCTCATAGAGGGCGCAGGCGATGACGCAGCGTTCGAAGAGGATGATGGTCCGCTCGTGCGAGCCGTTGGCGATCTCGAAGTCCAGGTAGTCCCGCCAATTCCGCAGCTGGGCACGCTCCAGCGGTTTCACGTGGAAGTACGGCCTTTTGATCTGGAATAAAGAGAGGGGAAAACAGTATTTGAGTAAGAAGAAGGTGGAACTAAGAGAGAGGAAGATCGGAAAGAGAGCAGAAACGTTTCGGTGCTCTCGCTCATTCGTTCCTTCATTCAATTTATTTAGTTTATAGACCACCCTGTCCATTCATTGAATGGAATGGAATGGAATTTATATACCACCCCATTAGTGCAACGCGCTATTCTGGTTGGTTCACAGCATCGTAAAATAAACAAAGACGTTAACGATAAACGTATAACTAAACAGTGAAAACTCATAAAATCATAACAACTCATAAAATCATGAGTTTTATGAACTCATATAAAATCACGCACGCCCCCGTTGGGAAGACAGAGAGTCACAGAGGGAGCCAAAGATACTTGTAAGCCCCCCTGCGGCGTTGAAACTTCGCAAGCCGTCAACTTTATGTTCCCTAAGAGCCGTTTCTGAAAGCAACACGAGAAACGGGAGAATGTCAGGGCGCACTCCGCCTCCCCATCCATGAAGTGGATTCCGAGAAGGGACAGAGAGCGGGTTCTTTCACACGCCACACCCCCTGAGGCGGACCGAGGGAGAAGCCGAAGAGAAGTAAGCTTTGGGCCTCTCTCTTTTTTTAAAGAAAGAAAGGACTCAACTCCTATCCTGACAAGGCAGCGAAACTGGGCTAGAGTTATACGCACCCCTTCCTCAAAGTTCCAGCGCTTGCTGACTTCCGCTTCGTTCTGGCTGTAGAGCTGCTGTCGGATGGACAGGACCATTTCCCGGAGCTTGTCTGGGTCCATCGGCCCCTGAAACCCAAATGAACATTTGCCCGGTCTCATTAATTTTGAAAAATCCGTACAGGGCATCAGAGAACATGAACGCTACTGTCTGGAGCAGTTCAAAGGCTACTGGAAGCCTGAAGCAAGGCACAGCATGTATTTATTCCCAGCCTCTGTGGGGACGATGTGTTTCTGTACCCCTGCAAAGTCTGGACACACGGAAAGCACTTCTCCTACCTCGTTAGTTAACTCTGTCCCATCTTAGACGAGTATAACCAACACCGATCAGCAGACACTCTCCAGGTTGTGGGCAAAGACTCTGGCAGCCCAATCTGGAGAGGTTGCGCATTGAATTTGGGATCTGAATGCAAATCTTGCGCCTGGCCATTGATTAACTGTGTGCTTCGCCTGCTGCTGCGGCCTTCGTCAGTTGACACAAGCGCCTGGCGAGCACCCCAGCAGTGTGGTGGCTAAGTCCGGGGCCCATCAGCATCATCCTCACAAAGCAGGCTGGAGAGCCCTAAAATTCACGTGGCTGAATGGGTCCCTGTTTTTTTTTTTAAAAAAATGGGTGGGCAGGTATTTTGTTGGACAAACGGATCTTAATTATCCATCAAGCTTCCAAAAAAAAACCTTATGCGAAAAAAACTTTATGCGAAACACCATTTCCCATAGGAATGCATTGGAAACCGGTTAATCCGTTCCAATAGGCACGGATTGGCGTCCTTAAGCGAAAAAACCCATAGGAAACATTGTTAAACGATACAATGTTTCCTCCATTGGAATGTATTGAAGCCGACTCAATACATTTCAATGGCTTTGCGAAGTCAATTTTTGCAAATTTAAGTGTGTCATAAAAGGGTCAAAAATGGTTTTAAATGCTTGGATTAGCTTCTGCACCCTCTAAAACGGATGCAAAAGTTAATTTGGCTTTGATCTGACTTTTCGTTAATTTATGGTGAATTTTTTCCCCCCAACTTTTGACAGCTGTCAAAATCTGACAGCTCCATTGTTTCCTATGGGGGAGAAAAAAATTCACAAAAAATTAACGAAAAGTCAGATCAACGCCAAATTAAGTATGCACACATTTTAGAAGGTGCACTAACGATTCCAAGCATTTAAAACCGTTTTTCAACATGTTAAGACACTTTTGTAATTGAAAAAATGAACATCGTTAAGTGAAGCAGGGGACCTAAAACCAAAAACGTTAAGCGAAGCATGGTCCCAAAATTGCTATGTGAAAATCGCCCATAGGGAAAAACGTTATACGAAGCACAATCTGACTCTGAAAAAATAAACGTTAAGCGAAAAAAACGTTAAACGAAGCAAACGTTATGCGAGGCACCACTGTATAGGCAAAAGCCCTGGAAGCAGATGTTTGGATCTGGCCTAACAGCTGTTAGTTGGCCATCGAATGGGGTGTCAAGAGCAGCCGGGCCAAACGACACCAAACCCAAAATCCATACTACATAAATAAATGCACCACGTTTTGTTTTATCATGCCCTCGATAAAACGATTTTTAAACGCCTCTGGGCTGAGTAGGTTCCATTTACTCAAGCGATTTTCTCCTCTTTCTGGAAAATGTAGGATGAGATAAAAGAGGCGTTGTGAAACCGGTTACCGCTCGAAGGGAGAAAGCAGGAGGAAAAGGCGGATAAATCTTAACGCCTCTTTTCTGGCCAGATGGACGAGACCAGCGCCACCCCGTAATCTAAGAGAAAAGAGCAAGCTACCTCCTGGCCAGTTGATGATGATTTTATAGGGTCCCCTTCCAGCTCTGATGACGATTCAAACCCCATGTTGCTGCTCTGATACATACTGGGGGGGGGAGACATGCCTCAACAGAAGCAGAACCCCAGGGATCCGACGCAGGGGCTCAGCCAGCAAAACCGGTACTTACCAAGATGTGGCTCCCATCTCCTGCCTCCTGCCTGGCCTCGGTCTTCAGGGGCATGTCTTCTCCGGGGGGAGCCTCTTCCACCTCCATTTCTGTGGCCTTGGCCCCGGTCTCGGAGGCCATCTTGTTCTGAAGCCAGAGAAGCTCCTCCACGGAAATAATATCCTTGGGGTAGTGCATGGCCACATGCTCTTTGAACCTACGATCAAGGAGAGAGGGACATGGAAAGGGCTCCTTCTGAGAATAACCCACTCAGGTCAGGGCTGGGAACATCAACTAGCCCAAGGCCACACAGCCAAGCGGCAATTCGAACTCAGAACTCTGGGGTCCCTGGGCGCCAGCCCGGGAGTTAGGCTGCTCCCAAAATTCTGCCTGTTTCATGTACCAACGATTCGAACCCAGGACTCTGGGGTCCCTGCTGAATGCGCCAGCCTGGGAGTTAGGCTGCTCCCAAAATTCTGCCTGTTTCATGTACCAACCTGTGTTTCTCAAGAAGGCTCTGAGCACTTCAGCGACACCCATGTGCCAAAAAATATATTTTTAACACGGATTTTAATTATTATTATTTTTAAAAAAGCTTTCTGTACCCCTTTGGAGGTCAAAAATATATTAATTTTTTTTAAAACATTGTGGGGGAAGCCGACGTGCAGGGGAGGCTCTCCCTAACGTGGAAAAGATGCCCTCTTTGCTCCCAAATAAGCTAACATTTGGGGGAATCCCTTATTCATAGGGTGGCTATAAGTCGGGAGGAAACTTCATAGCCCATGACGGCCACAAGCAGCAGAACAGGGACACGAACGCAACTTTTTTAGCCACGAAGAAGACACGGAACTCTCCGTCCACAGAAAAGTTACAGAGACGGAGAAATTACGAAATCTCCTTCTCTCTCCCCAAAGCAGGCACCCGTGAATCGACTCAGAACGAAAAGACAAACCTACTTTTCCCAGTGGTGGTTATACAGCTGGGTCGGCGTGCTGAGCACTCGGTCATAAATGGCCGTGATGGCCCTCAGGTCCCCTTGCTCCTTCTGCCACTCCACGTACATCTCCCACAGCTTGTCCGAGCGGAAATCCACGCCGGCAGCCGCCACGGCCGATTCGAAGGTGCTGAGAGGACAAAGCAGAAATTGGTTGGGTTTCACAAGCAGGATTCTCTTGGCACGCATCCTGACCACAGGATTCAGGGTTCCAACGTGCCGGCTTTTTCTCCTGGACACACATCCCGCCCTCGGGCTTCTTTCCAAAAAGAGAGCATTTCATAAATACCGAAAATGTCCCTTTTCTACCTCTTGGCCTGTTACCTACTGATTTTTTTTTAATTTTTTTTGTAATTAGGCCAGAATCCAAGCACCTTAAAAAAAACACCAAAGGAACTATTTCAAGTGAAACGGTCTATTTCTAAATACCCCACCTGGGAAAAAAAATTCTGGGAAATTTTACATGGCAGGATTGAAGGTCCTTCAACTAAACAGTAAAGACGCTTCTTACGCCCGTCCAATAAAGGCACCTCGTCGCTGCAACACATCTAAACTCTGGAACTCCCTGCCACTGGAGGCCAGGCCGGCCCCATCTTGGCTGTCCTTCCGCAAGCAGCCCCGTCACCTACCCGCAGATTTTCTGAGCCGAATCAGGAAGGTTCTCCCGTCACCTACCCACAGATTTTCTGAGCCGAATCAGGAAGGTTCATATCCAAAGTGGACTGCAGGAAGGAGATGTAATGGATCCACAGATCCATGCTGAGGGGGATCGACTGGAGGCCTCGTTGGAAAACCTGCGCAGCAGAAAAAAGAAGAGGGGAAAAGGAAAGAAACATCACATTTGGGGAAAAAAAGCCATTCAGGACCAAGGTGTCCCTGTTAGGAACCGTTTCTCGCCACCTGGATGCCTACAAATTAGGATCTCCCCCCTAGAAGCACCTAGAAGTAGATACAAGATGTTGGGGGGAGGGTTGCCCTCTTTTCAAGATGACTTTGCTTCACAGATGAAGTGTATCTGTCCCATCGGATGGAGAAAGGGAAAGTGATTTCTGAGAGGTGCCCATGTGTTATTTATTTATTTGTCTTATTTACAGGCCGCCTTTCTCCTGATAAGGGCCCCCAAAGGTGGCTCACGATACTAAGGAGAATTTTTTTTAAAAAAGCAGTTACACATTTTTTAAAAAATAAATTAAGCTATAAAACAGATTAAAATATCATTGATCAGAAACACGTAAAAAGCTGAACATTATCCTAAGTTTTAAAAATGGCATTCAGAGATTCGGTCAGGATTGCTAAAAAAGAAAAGCTTATCTGAACAGGTGAGTCTTCAGCTGTTGATGGACGGATAAAAGGGAGGGGGGGCCAGCCTGATCTCCCGAGGGAAAGCATCCCATAACCTAGGAGCTTTCACAGAGAAAAGCCCTCTCTCTTGCCCCCGTTAGCTATGGGACTGAGAGGAAAGCTCATATGGGGAGATGCGGTCCTTCATACAGCCTGGACCCAAGCAGTCTAGGGCTTTATAGACAATGACCAGCACCTTGAATCAGGCCTGGAAATAGACCGGTACTCAGTGCGGTTGTTGAAGCACCGAGCATCAGAGGCTCCCTATAACTGTCCTCAGCCAGTAGTCTTCAAGGACAGCCCCACGCAGAGCGCATTACAGCAATCGGGGCATCAGAGGCTCCCTATAACTGTCCCCAACCAGTAGTCTGGCTCCTCCGTTTTGAAGCAGCTGACATTTCTGAACTGTCTTCAAGAGCAGCCCCACGCAGAGCGCATTACAGCAATCCAAGCGGGACGCAACTAAGGCATGCGTCACTGTAGCCAGATTTATTTATTTATTTATTCTATTTATATCCCGCCTATCTAGTCGATCAAGACCACTCTAGGCGGCTTACAACAAGGGGTACAAGAATGAATAAAAGCAGTTTAACATAACAGAAAACTTTAAACAATTGGGTTAGACACTAGGAAAGAAAAGAAAAGGGGAATCAGGAATTAACTAGGGGGGAAGGCCTGCCGAAACATCAGTGTTTTTAGTTGATTTTTGAAGATACCCAGTGAGGGGGCAGCGCGAATATCAGACGTCTCAGTTTCCCTACCGATGGCAGACAGGAATTTGAACCGGGCGAATTTATGCAGGACTCCGGGACCCACCCTCTCGCCCCTCCCTACCTCCTCCGTCTCCTTGATGAAGTCAAAGCGCCGCTCCATGTCCGCGTACTTCTTCCAATAACCGTAGCAATACGGGTACCGTAGAAAGAAGCTGTCGAAGGCTTTGCGGGCGGCGTAAATGTGGTTCTGCAGGGGCGGGAAAGAGGAAAGGTTTGGTGTTGTCCAAAAAGACAAAGCTGGACACACAGAAACAGCAGCAGATTCAGGACAAAAGGACAGCAGAAGAATAATTCTTATTTACCTTCAGATACGGGTTGCAAACCTTTACACTGTCTAAAACCTAACTTTTAGTGGCTGGCTATTCAAAGCATCTTTCCGGCCACATTATCCACAGTCTTCTCACCTGCCTTTGCAAGGAGCAAATTTATCTTTCCTTGGGTTACCTGTTGGGAGTCTTTGCAACCTTGCAGTCTGCCTTTATTAGGTTTGGCTGGGAGGGGCCTTTTTGGGCTGGGGAGTCTGTCCATCTGGCTTCCTCTAACTTGAGCCCATTGCTGGCTATTCAAAGCATCTTTCCGGCCACATTATCCACAGTCTTCTCACCTGCCTTTGCAAGGAGCAAATTTATCTTTCCTTGGGTTACCTGTTGGGAGTCTTTGCAACCTTGCAGTCTGCCTTTATTAGGTTTGGCTGGGAGGGGCCTTTTTGGGCTGGGGAGTCTGTCCATCTGGCTTCCTCTAACTTGAGCCCATTGTTGTATCTCCAGGAAAGAGGAAAGGTTCGGTTGTGTACAAAAAGACAAAGCTGGACACACAAAAAGAACAGCAGATTCAGGACAGAAGGACAGCAGAAGAATAAGATAATTCTTATTTACCTTCAGCTATGGGTTGCAAACCTCCTTTAAACTGTCTAAAACCTAAATTTTAGTGGCTGGCTATTCAAAGCAAATGGGCAAAAACCTCACCTTTAAGCGAAAAGCTACTCTGAAGGACAACCTTTCAAGTACTGTACAGTGGTGCCCCGCATAGAGACGATAATCCGTGCAGCAAAAATCGCTGCAAAGCGATTTTGTCACTATGCGGAAATAAAAAGCCCATAGGAATGCATTAAAACCCGCTTAATGCGCTCCTATGGGCAAAAAACTCACCTTTAAGCGAAAATCCTCCATACGACCGCCATTTTCGCTGCCCGGTAAGTGAGGAATTCGGGCAAAAACACAGCGGGTGGTCATTTTATTTACCCGGCGGCCATTTTGGAACTGCCTATCAGCTGTTGGAAAATCATCGCTATGCGATGATCGGTATGCGAAACAGGGTACCGATCATCGCAAAGCGATATTTTCCTATATAGAACATCGCAATGAGTTTGCAAAAACTTTGTCGCTATGCGGATTCGTCGTTAAACGAGGTGCCCGTTAAGTGAAGCACCACTGTATTTTGTATGAGATGCAGAGAGGACTGGCCATGAGGCGGAAGGCTGTAATCCTAGTCATCCTCAGGAAAACCTTGCCCACTGTGCCCCCACTCAGCAGAGCCACAAAATAGGGTGGGGAGGGGGACACACACACAAACACGGTGGAGACGATGGCACAGGGCTCTCTTCTCCTGTTGGAACCCTCCAAGGGAATGCCAGAGGGCCCCCTTGATCCTCCAGCCTTACCTCTTGCTCCACGTACTGCAGCAGTTCTGTCCAGGCCGTGAAATCGAGGGGGTTCTCCTGAGCCGCCCTCCAGTACCGCTCGAAATCCAGAGGGTAAGTGATGGAGGGATCCTCCATGGGCGGGTTGATCACCATGTGCGTCGTCATGAGCTCAGAGGCTGGAGGCTGAAGGACTTCCTCCTTGGGAGGCTCTGGCTGTGGAGCCGGGGCGCCGGTTTCCATGCTGACCCCGTTACACCCTTCTGCCGCTTCCGACACCGCCACCTCTTCCGGTTTCGGCGCACCGTCGTCCGCCGGCTTGGGAAGCACATCTTGAGCAGAGCCTACAGATTTCGGGATGAAATTGAGAAACGGATGTAACATTTCCGTAAGTTTTAAAGTCATATAAAACAGCTTTGGAAGGAAATTTGAAAAATTGGGGTGGGAGAGACAACAGGGTAAGGTTTTTTTTTTCTGCTTTATGTGGTTTCAAAAATTTCCAGAAATTTTACATCTCTAGGACTGCTTTATGTGGTTTCAAAATTTCCAGAAATTTTACATCTCTAGGATTCGCTGTTCTCTACAGATGATCAAGGCCTCCTGCCTTCGGCTCCCCTTTTATTCTGGACTGCAACTTCCAGAATCTGTGATTGTGGGACTTTCTGAGAACTCAGGGCATAAAGACTCTCCAGGCCGTCGGGCAAGACATTCTGTCCGTAAAGACCAAGGTACAATAATACTTGGTTGATGTTGGAAACGCAATTACTCATCCTCACAAAACGCTGAGTGGAGGCTATTAATTAAATTAGTGGCAACCTGTTCCAGCGACATGGCCAATACAGAACGTCCACGATCCGAAGCACCCTAGCCCTGAGCACTAATTTATCATAATTTAGCTTTTAATACTGTTCCTTTTTACAATACTGTAAAAAAAAACCTGTTCCTTCTCAAACAAAGACCTTTCTCTTTAGGCAGGTTTATCCTTTAAAATGACAGGTTGCCCAAGCCTATTTTTTAAAAAAATGGATTATTTTATCCTGTTGTTTTACTTCTGCTTTTAATATTGCTCTTCCTTCGGAGTTTTAATATATCTGTTTAATGCTTTAAAGGGAAATATGCTGGATCCCTCCGTGGTTTAGCACTCTGGTTGTGGAGCCAGAGGCTGGGAGTTCGAATCCCGCGCCGGGTCCCTTTCCAGCTCTGCTATACTAAAATATTACAATAACCTATTATTTAACTTTTAACACCACGAGCCACCTTCGATCCTTTGGGGTAAAACCATGACATGGAAATATTTCAAACCAATAAAATAATAAACCTGGTAGGTTGAAGGAGGAAAGCAAAGTATACGTATTTTAAAGGAATACACAACCAACCACCTTCTGGACCAAAGAAATGGGGGCTTTAAATTGCCTTGGATCTTCTTCTTCTTTTGTTTAAGGAGAACGACAGGGTAAAAACATATTTTAAATAAATAAATGATAATAAATAGGCAGAGGCCCCTCTGAGCCACCGTTTTATTTATTTCAAATATTTACTTTCACCCTGCCTTTCTCCTGAGGGGAAGCAACGTAGGCAGAAACACGAAAAGCAACAGGCGTCGAGCCTCCCCCTGCAGGGACAGTCTACCTGCAAGGGAGCCGAAGGCATAGGAGGGTGCGGGCGGCCAGCCCCAGACCCCCCCATCCCACCCCCGAGGCCCCTCTGAGCCACCGTTTTATTTATTTCAAATATTTACTTTCACCCTGCCTTTCTCCTGAGGGGAAGCAACGTAGGCAGAAACACGAAAAGCAACAGGCGTCGAGCCTCCCCCTGCAGGGACAGTCTACCTGCAAGGGAGCCGAAGGCATAGGAGGGTGCGGGCGGCCAGCCCCAGACCCCCCCATCCCACCCCCGCCCCG